TCTACTGAAGAGATTTCTGGTTCCTGCTTCTGTCCTGCCTCCCTCTAAACTAAAACAATTCATTTTATCACTACAAATATGCATCTTAATTTCTTCTTCCCCATGTCAACTGTTATGCCATCAGTTTGATCAATTTATTTTGAGGGGAGGAATGGATTTTGCTCCTTTTTAATGTCTTTAGCACTATTATGACAAATTAAAAACAAGACAAATGTCAGAACAACGAAAATGTATTTGGTGTCATGAAATATTACCTAATATCCACTGACTTCTGGAAACTTGTATCCAGAGGATTTGCATTACAAGGCTTTTTATACTTTTCCCCAGCAAGGTTAAAAAATAAGCATCTATCATAAAACCCAGTCCAGGATCCCTTCAGTTGAACATAAATGAGGCTTAAGCAGCATCAAATATTCTATTAAATATTCTTAGCTCTTCTTTTCTGATTCATTATGATTTTAGCTGTGCAGGGGGGAAATAAATTTCCCCAGATTGGTATGACAGTAATTCACTTCAGAGGTATTAGACTTCTTGTCTCTTAAGATGTACTTGGCTACTTCCCTAAACATTTTCCTTCAGGGAGAAAACATTGTTTTGCATTCTTGAGCTAGGCCCAAAGCCTCCATCTTGGTCCTATGTTGGGGTGCAAAGTCTTTAGGGTGGAATGACCTTCTTTCTGTGTTTTCCTTGTGGAAGAGTTTAGAATCTCACGCGTTTTTGTTCCCCACTGAAAAACTTGAGCTGTTGCTGCCTTAACTCAGCTGTCTTTCAGAGACGACTTTTCGTTTTCCTTGGTGTGGGAGAGCTTCATAATAAGGACGCATCCAGACATGCGTGCATGTTTGGTTCTGCAAGGACAACTAGTGGCAGGGCACCTTGTGCCGCCACTAGTTGTCCCTGGGGAACACTCATGCCACATGCACACTGGTGCATGGCAAGTTACCCCAGGTGGGATAAGGGAGGCTGGGGCCAGCACTGGGCAGTGGTGCATGCTGCTGTCACATGCTCAGCTCCACTTTTTTTTTTCTCCATGGTTTTTTTTTTTTGGTTTTTTTTTTACTCCAGGATATCCAGGGGTCAAAAAGAACATTGGAATGTGCAGTATGTGGTGCCACAGACATGTCTGGACGCGGCCTAAGAGTCTGCTTACTGAGTCAGACTAACTGTAGCAAAATGGTTAAAGAGATACAAGGAGGGGGATTTCTGAGAGATTCCAGTGAACCCCCATCCAAAACTTGAGGAATAATTATGATAGCCTAACCTGAAGTAACTTCTGGCAACGAAATATATTGGTGCTGCTTTCTTGGTAATAAAAACCCAATTATTTTTGTTCATCGTATATCTGTTGTCTGTGGAACTTCTCTTGGGTTATGTTTTTTCCCCTAGACTAGGTAGTGTACGCTTGATACACTGGCGTGCTGATGTCTTCCAAGCAATTATTCTGTATGCTATTATGCTATTATGTCGTAAAGCAAGAAGCACTTAGCACAACTAGTTGACTGCCATGCACAGAAAACAGACAAAACATTATGTCTTTATGTAAAACCTACAACAAATCCTTTTCTTGAAAGGGTGTAATATAAGTAGTGTGTTTATTATGGGCCACTGTTACTTAGAGGAGCCTAAGTTGAATTGTAAATTAGACAGCTGGAAGCCATAGTGATAGGTTTGGAGATTTTTATCACCATTTTATATTAACAATTTCTTTTTTATCTTTCATTACCTTTCTAACTTTATGGATGATACTTTTAGAGTACAGCTCTTACTTTGTAGATTCAGAGATTATGTATGATTCTTTCAGTGTTAAAAGCCTTAGCCATGACAAATTCATTAAACATTCATTAAAGGTCAGCATTTTCATTAGAACACAGTAGGCTAAATTAATAAAATATAAAAACAAACCAAAAAAACTCTGTATAGTCTGAAATTAATCAGAACAGAAAGAAGTAGAACTATTCCATGCCTGCTTGAAGACACGGGTTAGAATTCCAAAACCCAGTTTAGAGGGTGATTTCAGCTGGAAAAAAGAAAGCAGTATGATTTCTAGAGTTGCATGCTTCTTTATTCAATGTTACAATAGCACAGTTTAATGCTAGGTATCAAATAATTTGGGGATTCTATTTTGTGCTTGCTAAATGTCTATATTACATATGTGAAACCTGCATATTTCTCATGCTACAATGTAAAAGTAGTGTAAGACTTGTAGCTGTGATGATCCAAAAATTATGCATGGGGCAAGGATTTCTTAGCGTGAAACCTTTTATTGGACCAAGTGCGTAGTTGGGGAGGAGTTAGTCAAGCTTTTGAATGCAAGACTTTCTTCATCAGGTCTGACCATTGCAAACCAGGTACAGCATAGTCCTTAGGCAGATACAGTGTTGTTATTTTAATTTGAGTTTGGGAACTGCTTTCTAGGGGTCCACTGAATATGATTGACCCTTAATTGATTAGTGTCCTCTGTAAAGGGAGAAGGTTTTTTGATAACTTTCCACTATACTACAGTG